TTTAAAAAACGCCTTGGCTGCATTTTTAGATAAACAGCTGCAAAACACTTTGTTGCATAAGTTACTTTTTTAAAGAAGTAACTATATCATTAATTACCCAACATTGGTCATTATTTACTGTATTTGCAGACAGAGTTACAGACTCTCTCCCAGACCACAGACTCAGAATACAGTCAGAGCTTTATACAAAAAATAAAAATAAAAAAAGAAAGTTGTGTTTTCAAAATTGGAGTTCAAGTTATTTTTCCTTCCAACAGTGTTAACATGCTACACATGAACAAGATTGTTTTTATTTTCATTGTAAGTGGGCTAAAGCAGTTAATTAAAAGTCGTCTAACATAAATGCTGTAATTTGATTACTTTAATAAACATGTAACTTGGATTCGATGCTGGCGTGACCACAGTGCACACGTCTGCTGTTGCTCACAGTGGTCCAAGTGTCCACTCAGGGAGTTTGTGTGCTCGCTCAGACACGTGAAACAGAGGAAACATTGGTCATCGAGTTTCCCTACACTCACGTTCTTGTACAGTCGAAACACTTCAGACCTGAGTGGGTTGGCCATCGTCCTGGAGGAGAGTCCGAGCTGAGAAAGGCAGAAAAGCAAACTTCAGATTAAAGAGGTTTAACCTGCTGCTCACGCTCAGTAACTGCTGACGATTCAATTCCATGTGCGACACAAAGAAAACTGCAGCTCTGCTGACGAATCAACAAAGAACCATCGAACCAGATCAGTCGCTTCACAGGAATCAAACAGCGTTGAGGCTGAATGACCTCAGTCAGATCTGAAGCCATCGGCCCAGATCTGATGGCCGACTGTCTTTATGTCACAGCCGAAGCACTACAGGCGCCAGTGTAACAGTAAAACTTTAAAAATAAACAACAATAAAGCTGTTTGATAATTAAATGTTAATAATAACAATAAAGTTCATCTTGAAGGTACCTGCTAACCTATTGTTCCCATGACGTTTGGGACTAGATGATGACGTTTATGGCTTTTGGGAGGCCAACAAAGAAACTTACACCAGAGTCCACTGACAAAAACGCGGATTTTCACCTGACATAAAAAAGACGTTTCTATTCAACTTTGCGTGACTTTACTGTTTCAGTGTTTTCTGGTGATCCGAACTAACTCACTAAAACATCAGAGTCGCTCCGTAACACAAACTAGCGGACCAGTCGAGGCCGCTGCAGACGCAAAGCTCCGCCCTTCTGTGACGTAAAAATCCAGCTTTTGTGAATGGAGTCTGGCGGAGAGCGACCCGGTTCACTTCGCGGTTAGCACATAACCCACAGCGGCTCATCCAGGTGTGCAAAAATTGGCACACCAGCACGTGATCTGTAGTGGGCGTGGCCGCCGGCACCTGCTGCAGGTAACACTGACTGTGGGTTTCCGCGCGTCTCTGCCTGCAGAAGGTCTATAACGTTAGAAAGTACACGCAGTAACGCACACCTGTCTGCCAGGTGTGCGCTAGATTAGACTGAAAACACGTTTAACGCTCAGCTCGTGACGTCATAAATACTATAAACAATTACAGGAACATTTGAGGCTCGTTGGTCTCAGTTTCGCTGCAGGGTTTGAATTCCTGCGTGAAGTGGATCAAATGAAACGTCACCTTCAGGTGATTCACGTCAGGTAAGCAGCGCTAGCAGGAAGCCAACTTTGCTCTGAGCGGCTGAAAGAGAAAAACCGACAATAAACTAACCGAGCCTGAGCGGGTCAAAGGTCACCTGCTAGCCTCGCGTAGGGTTAAAGTTCCCGCGGTGAATCTGTCCGTTTCCCCCGCTGCTGTTGGTCTAAAACAACCCGCGGAGCTCCGGGTTCATCGCCGCGGAGCACGAGAACTTAAAAGTCTGTGAACTTCGTGAGCGTGCTGCGCGCTCACAGGCTAGCAGGTAAACAACCAAAGAGTGTGAGCGCGCAGAGAGAGTAACCCCACCCCGACACGCTCAAACCGC